CATCGGGTTTCGTCTTGGAACTGCAGCATTAGGATGTGAGGCTGGATGGGATTTCTCTGATGCCTCCCGTGACCTCAGTGCAAAGGCATCTCCTCTGGGCGCTCCCGGTCATCCACAGCAGCAAGCCCCCCTCCCGCGTCCCTTCCCCAACCTGGAGGATGCAGCCCACCAGGGCTCAGCCACCTGGAGCCAAGCCCGATCCAGGGCCATCTTTATAGGCTTCAGTTGGTGCTGATTCAACCATGGGTACGGGGGGATAGGGGGGTGGAGGGGATGGTTCATAACCTGACCACAAAGTGCCAGACACATGGGGCTCACTTTGGGGTCTCTAAATCACGCGCCCGCTAGCAAATACAGCTTGAGCTGGAGCTCCTGCACTGCGGGGGTCCCCCGGGGCCACAGGGATTGACCCCCAAACACTGGGTCAAGAGGAGTGTCCGAGGGGGTAGAGAGAGGGCACAGAGGAATAAGGTGCTTGCCTCACACGCGGCAGACCCAACTGGATCCCCGGCACCCCACATGGTCCCCAGAGCACCACCAGGAATAATTCCTGAGTACAGAGCCAGGAGGAACCTCTGAGCACAACCGAGTGCGGCCCCAAAACAAAACAAAACAAAAAACTAGTTAATAGAAACAACAGTCTGTTAGAAATCACGGTTTAGGGAGAAGAAAGGTGGGGGAGAGGTTGATGTTCTTTTTTATTATTATTTTGGGGCTACTCGTGGTAGTGCTCAGGGGCCAATGCAGTGCCACGGATGGACCCAGATGTGCTCTGTGCATGCTGAGTGCACTCTCTCCCCCCACACACACCCCTGAGTCTCACACATACACGCTCCCTCACACTCGAGAGCCTCTCTCTCTCTCTCTCACACACACACACACACACACCCGAGTCTCTCATTCACACACACAGATACACATACTTCCTCACACCCTGAGAGTCACACACACACACACACACACACACACACACACACACACACACACACACACACACACACTCCCTCACACCCCTGACAGAGACTAGGCCCCTCAGTCCTGGACCAGGATCTGTTCTCTGCAGGAGCAAAGGCTAGAAAGGGCGGAGTTGATTTCACAAGCTTCATCCCAGTAGGGGACACGAGGGTGCCCTGGGAGACATTTCAAGACAGGGGAGTGGGGGAGAGAAGCAGCCACAGACTGGCCAGCCCCACCCTCTGCATTGTTCCCGGCCTAACTCAGCCCAGGGAGGCCAAGCACTGCCCCAGGCAGGCCCCTTGAAGTCAGGGTCCCCAAGGAGAGGACTTGGTGGTCTCCCTACCGCCCACTAACTTATGGGGGCACACAGGCCCTGCCCTACCATTGCTGCCACTCAGAGCAACGGGGGCTCTGTCCACACCCAGCTCTGGGGAGGGGCCCCCTGCTGTGCCTCAGTGTCCCCTCTACTTCCTCACCACCTCAGGCCAGCCCTGGGCGCCTGAGAGGGGCGGGGCCCCTGTAGGCAGCATGACCCAGGATCAGGCATGATGGGTGCATCGGGGCTGGGGGTAAGAACCCGGCACACTGGACAAAACATCTACACAGGCCCAAGTGGTCCGTCAGGGCCTGGCACGTGGCTGGTGCCCTGGGAAAGCGCAGATGAGGACAGGAAGCAAAGAATCAGCAGTTCCGTAAGCAAAGCTCCCATGATCCCAAGTCATCCGCCAATCAATAGATGAGACGGGCAGGCAGTCTTAACCCCACTTGAGAAATGGGGAAACTGAGGCTCCTTGACATGCCCAGAATCCCACTTTTTTTTGGGGAGTCACACCTGGCAATGCTCCAGGGTTACTCCCGGCTCTGCAGTCATGAATTCCTCCTGGCAGTGCTCAGGGAACCATATGGGAATGCCGAGGATTGAACTTGGGTCGGCTGCATGCAAGGCAAATGCTCTCCCCACTGTACTATCACTTGACCCCCCCTCCTTTTTTTTTTTTTTTGCTTTTTGGGTCACACCCGGCCATGCACAGGGGCCACTCCTGGCTCTACACTCAGGAACTACTCCTGGCGGTGCTCAGGGGATCATAGGGGATGCCAGAATTGAACCCAGGTCAGCTGTGTGCAAGGCAAATGCCCTCCCTGCTGTGCTATCATCCGGCCCCCAGAGATACCAGGTGCCACACGCCTCATTACGAGGCCGGAACACCAAAACCAGCTGATGTCGTTCATGTGAGAGCTATAAGGGAACCCACAGAAGAAACCCCAGAACCGCGATGACCCAGGAAGGGGACATGGGGGGGGGCAGTGGAGGCAGACTGAGATTGGCAAAGGCAGTGTGAAGAGGCGTGGAACTGTACCCCTAAAACACAGAGTCATGCCAAAAGTTAGCAGTTAGCGCAAGTAAAAAAAAATTGATTATTAAAAAAAAAAGTCACCCCCCGCAACCAACTGGGGGTTCAGTGGACAGATGGGGCATGTACACTTCACCCCCCCTTCTCCCCAGCTGACCCTCGTGCCCTGCAGAGGGGATGTCAGCACAGGTCCACCACCATGGAATGACCAAGGGCAACCCCCCCCCCCCCGCCCGCCCCGCCAGACGTGGAGTCTTCCTTGACTTGAGGCTGGGGGCAGGGGCCGGACTGGTGGCACACTTTGGGGGAGCAGACCCCTCTGCAGTCTCTGGGTCCCAAGGCACAGTGTGAAGTGGCCAGGGGACCCATGGCCCGGCAGCGGCGGCTGCTCTCCCCTGTCCCCACCCTTCTCCAGGCTCACGGTCTCCAGAGCCCCAGAAAGGAAGAGTCTGACTGAAAACCCCGCCTTGACTCAACTGGGGGGCTGCAGACGCCCCTCCCTGAGAGGCAGTGGGGTGTGGAAGCAATCGGATGTGGGGTGCAGTCGAGGGCTGTGGGGTACGGGCTGCAGTGGGGTGTCGGGGGCAGCTGGGTGCAGTTGGGTGTGGGGGCAGTGGGGTATGGGGGGTAGTGGGTGCAGTGGGGTGGGGTGCAGGGGTTGTGGGGTGCAGGGGGCAGGGCAGGCAGGAACCTCTCAAGGCGGTAACACCCGCCCAGCCTCCCAGCACTTTCCTGTTTCTGAACAAGTCCCCCCTACCCCACCCCTGCACACACACGCACCCCTGCCCTGGGCTTGCCTGTGCCCTTCCTGTCAGGGCCAGAGGCCAGAGGGGTGCGGTCTCCTCAGCCCCAGGAGCTGAGGTCTGGGCAGGGAGGATGGGATGGCGGGCGCTCCCCAGCAGTAGGGGGCAGACTCAGCTGCCCCCTCTCTCACTCCCCCTGCCCCAGGACGGATCTCCCAACAGCCGGTCATGTCCCCGCCTTTGCACAGGCTGCTCCTGTCCACTGCTCACCTCTCAAACAACCTTGTCTCCACCCCCATTCTCCACCCCAGTCCCGCCTAAAGGCTTGGAGAGGTAACTAGGCAACGGGCAGCTGGTGGGGGGGGGTGAGGAAGGGGGGGAAGGAGTCTGGGTGAACACGGATCTGACTCTGAGACTTGGTGGAACACCTGACCAGATGGTGAGAGCAGTGTCAAATGCCACCTCCCCTGTGCAGTCCTCTGCGATTCCCCAGGATGTAACTCTGGCTCAATAAAGGCTTCCCAGGCCCCCATTCTCCCCACATCGTGGCTGGCATCCAAAGCCGGGGCTCCTGCACTCATAGGACCTGGGAGCTGGGGCTCAGATGACGGCTAGACTGGGGGGGAGTTGAGTGGGCATTATCACTTGCCCCTGAGAACCGAGCAGAGGGCAGAGGTGGAATGGGACAGAGGGGCAGAGAGCCCGGCACGCAGGGCACAGGTGACAGGTGGATGCAGAAAGAAGGGGGGGGGGGGGGGCAAGGGGAAGCGCAGTCCTGGCAACAAACCCGATTCTGTATGGACTGGCCTGGCCTGGTCAGTGCACCCAGGGTCTCTGAGCAGTGACTCCCCCCAGGACCCCTGTCTCCCAGCCCAGCTGGGGGCAGCGCGCAGCCAGAGACCAGTTCCCAGAAGGTAGCGGATATCCACAGCCTGGAGGAAACTCTGAAAACCCCGCCCACTCCCGAGCACCTCACCGGGTGCGCGCCCCACCCCAGACGGCTGGACCCCTTCCCAGCACCCAGAGAAAGCTCAGCCAGCAGCTGACGTCCCCGCTGGGCGCAAAAAGAGGAAACAGAGGCGCGGGATGCTGGCTGGCCGGCACCCTCAGCATCCCTGGCACGGGCGGGGGTGGGACCGCGGCTCCAGCTCCCTGGACGCACTGGCCCGAGCCCTCTGGGGTCAGGCGTGGCGCTGGACCGGGATAAAGCAAGGGCAGGAATAAAGCCCGGGTGTCTGCCGGGCTGCTGGGGGCTCCCCGCCTGGCTCCCCACCTCCCTCCCTGGGCACCGGGTGGAGGACTCTGCAAAGGTCCCGCCTGCCCAAGGGTCCCCTCCCGGATCCCTGTGCACAGGGGTCCCTCCCTCCCTCCTTCCTTCCCTCCCTCCGTCTGTCCCACCCCGCCCCGGGAGGAAGTCGGGGCTCTGCCAGGCCCCCGCGGCGCCCCCACACGCTCATTTCCAGCCGAGGATCCAGTTACTGGAAAAGAAACGCGGCGGCCGCGCACCTCCCCCTCCCGGGGCGCCGGGGGTCTCCAAAGAGGGAAACGCTTTCGCGCGAGTGGCGTGCCAGGCCGGTGGGTGCCGGACGCGCCACCAGCCCCCGGTAGCAGGCTTCGGACACAGGGCTCGGCCCCTCCCAGATTCCACCCACCTGTCCCTCCACCCGGGGAGCCTGGGAAAGAAAGGGGGCGGCGAGGCCGGCCCCGAGCGGCGACGCCGTTACTTTACAGCCGGCTGCTGAGCGCACGGCGGCACGGGGCACGGGGTGGGGGCGGCAAGAGGCGTCCTGGAGAGTTGGCAAACGAGAACCCCCTCGTTGCAAACTCCCTTTCCCGGCCGCCCCGGGCTCCGAGCGAGCGCACGCACGGCCTCAGTTTCCCCGGGAGGGAGCCGGCGGGGCCGCGGAGGGGCTCCCCGGGTGCGGGGCGGGGGTCGGGGCGCGCCTACCCCTGGAGGGCCGGGTCCGGCTGCGGGAGCGGCTCCTCTGTCGCTGCAGCCGGGGCCGCCGGAGCAGCCGGTAGTAGTAGGAGGGCCTCCCGGTGCTCTTCCTGGCGCTGCCGCCCGCCGACATGCTGCCGCCCGCCCGCCGGGCACCGGGCACCGGGCACCGGGCCGGGCCTGGGCGCGCTCACTCGGGCCCCATGGCGCGCTCCGGCCGGCCCGGCGGGCGCCCCGCTCGCTCCCCGCGCGCAGCCCGCGCCGCGGCCGCCGCACAAAGTCGCGCCAACTCCGCCCCGCCCCGCCTCCCGCGGCAGCCGGGCCCGCCGCGGGGTCCGGGACCCGGGGGCCGGGCTGGCACCGGCCCGGAGAGCAGCGCGGGGGAAATCCCGGCCTGGAGTCCGCCGGCCCGGGACGCGCCGAGCGCCCGGGACCCCGCGCCGCGCCCCCGGCCCGCGCCCCGGGGCCCCAGCCCGCGCCCCCAGACTGTGCCCATCACCCCCGCACCCCAGTCCCAGTCCGCGCCCCCAGCCTATGCCCGGCAGCCCCGCTGTGCGCCCCCCAGCCCGCGCTCAGCACCCCCGCCGTGAGCCCCAAACCTGTGTCCATCACCCCCGCCCCCGCGACCCCAGCCCCAGCCCACGCTCCCAGCCTGTGCACGGCAGCCCCGCTGTGCGCCCCAAGCCTGCGTCCATCACCCATGCCCCCGCGCCCCCTGCTCCAGACCGCGCCCAGACCCCATCCCTTCCACCCCAGGCCCGACCTCAGGGTGCGTGGGGCTGAAGGGCGGGTGTGAACCGTGCACACCCGCACAGGTGCGCTCCTGGGCACGGGACAGGGAGCGCGCGCACCCTCCACCCAAGCCTAGCATCGCCTTCAGGGAGGGTCTGAAAGAGCCACTGCAGGGCTGGTCTCTGTCCCAAAGCTGGGATCGGGGGCTGGACACACCTCCTGCCCCAGTGTAAAGCCTCCCATGAACACCAGGACACTTGTCCTTGCCTCCTTCTGGTGCTGGGCACTAGTCCCTACTTTGATCTCAGGGCCGACACTTGTTCCTACTTGGCATCTTTTCCTACGGCCCCTTTGGATCCACGTGAGTCTTGGAGAGTTAATCACAGCGTGTGCTTCAAGCGCGCCCAAAGCGGACAGAAACGGTCAGCCCAGCCTGACCACGCTGGCTGTCCTTTCTCCAGACTCCAGCAAACCCAGGCCCTGCGAGGTGCCAGGATCACCCCCTCCCCCGCACGCAGAGCGATTCCCACCAGGCTGCAGGGAACACTGAAGCGCGAAACCCTGCCCTGCACACTCTCCAAGCTCCTTCTGAGCACCAGCCGGCCTCGGGGTCCGAAGCAGCAGCCCCACACAACCTCCTGCACCCTCTTCTCCACTGCTCCCCACTTTACCCTACCAGGCCTTTCCTGGCCATCCTGGCCCTGGGGGTACCTCTCTCCCCTCCCACAGAGGTAGCTTCCACCCATCCTGAGCTCCAGCCCCTCCTCAAGCACAGAAGGGGAAACTGAGGCCCAGACAAAGCTATCTGACAAAGTGATAGCACGGTGGCCCTAGCGGGTCCCATTTTACTAATGAGTTTGTGAGGACCCCCCCCCTCCACGGATGCCTGAGTCCCCACAAGTCTACAGGGAACCACTGGAAGGTAGAGCCTGGAGGGGCGGGGCTGGCGGGGCCCTCCGGGCGGGAGTCCAGGCCGGGTTTTGCACCTGACAAGGGGATCCCCCTCCTGGGCTCCCTCCACCGGGGGTGGGCCCCCAGGTCAGGAGGAGCCTGGAACGCAGCTGGAAGCCAGGCGCCATCCCAGGGCCGGGGGAGGGGTGCGAGGGGCTCAGCTTCTCCAAACTCCAGCCGCCGGGCACCCCAGCCTTCAGCCGCCCTGCCCTGCCCTGCCCTGCAGGGGTGAGACCTCCGCAGACCCCCGTTAGTGCCTTCAGCTAAGCCTGTGCCCACAGACAGGGCCTGGAGACTCACAAGTGCAGAGACCCCTGGGAAGCGCTGTGCCAGCCCCCCTAGAGCAGAGGAAATCTTGGGGTACCCTCCCATTTTCCTCTTCCTCCTCCTCCTCCTCCTTCTCCTCCTCCTCCTCTTCCTCCTCCTCCTCCTTCTCTCCCTTTTACCCCAAAACCCAGAGCCGCCCCTCTCATGGGACCCACCGGGCACTTGCAGAAGGAACAGACTGGGCAGCCCCAGTCTTGGGGGGGTTCGGAGGACCCCCAGGAAGTCCCAGGTGGTTCGTCCACCCCATTTCCGTCCTGAAGTAGAAGCCTCCCAGTGAGTCAGGCTTGTCTGTGGGGGTTGCAGGAAAAGTCTGTACAGGAAGCGGGAGGAAGCGTGCTGGGGCTCATCTGTCAACACTTTGGGGGGAACCTGAGGTGGGTGGGCATAGTCTCCGGGCCTACGTGCTGGGCCTCCGCACGTCCTGCTCCGTGCCTCAGTTTCCCCACCTGCAAGGAGAGCCGACCTCTCTGCCTCTGTGGCACGAGGGAAGGTCCAATAGCTAGAGCAGAAACAGCTTCTGGGCTCGGGGCCTCGGGGCGGGGTGGGCACTGCCAACCACCCAGGCCGCAGTGGGCACCAAATCGGCACCAGCTGGAAGCCTGCATGCAGGGCAGGAGCTGGGAAAGGGGCCCAGGGGGCAGACAAAGGCTCTCCATGCTCTGCATCTGGAATCTATCCCTCTGGGCCAGCCCCCTCCTCCCCTAAGCAGGAACAGGCACGGGGAGGCCACCCCAGCGTCTCCAGGGCTTCCCCGGGCAGCCCTCTCCAGAGACTCCCCCCACCCCCGGAGCCCCTGGGCTGGGAGCTCCCGCCCCACCAGGCCCCATGGGCTGAGTCTGTTGTTTTTTGCTCCTCTGCCTCCCTCTGGCCCCCAAATGGGGCGGCAGCGGGTGGGAACCAGGTCACCCCATTCCTGAAACTGCACATTCCTGGGTCCCCCCCTCATATGCTTTGTCCAGTGGGTCCGGATGGGGCCTGGGACCCTGTGCCAACAGGGGCAGGGGGAGGGGAAACGGGGGACGGGAGGGGGGTGCAGAGGCACACTTGCTCAGCCCTGGTGGTATCCCCCAATGCCAACTTCACTGTCCCTCAGTCGCCTCCCAAAGTGATTTCCCAGTTGCAAACACACCAACTCCCTCGCACCCCCACTCACTGCAGACCCCCCATCTAGCAGGGCTGGTCCCCAAGGCGCCGGTCCGACCTCTGGCTTTGCCCAATTGGTGACCATCAAGCTCTCGCTTCTCCCTGCACCTGCCTGGCCAGAACCTCAGAACCGAGCTCTGGACTCGCCTCCTGAGGGCCCAGTGACACCCTCCGGCCTGGGAGCTTAAATAAGGACCCCCGGGGTAGAACAGGGAGGGTCAAGTCCACAAGTTACACGAAGCCCAGTGGACACAGAGAGGAGGCCCTGGAGCCAGAGAACTGCCCTCTGGGTGCTGGAAGAGACGTATACCAGTGGGGCTAGGCGGCGGATGGCCACAGAACGGGGTTGGGCATCTCAGCAAGCACTAAGAGCTAAGAGACGCATCTGGGGGGCGGGGGGGAGGGGAGGAGGCAAGGGGCTCTCACCTCATACTACTGATGGTTTAGGTTAAAGGTCAGAAGGGGAGATAGGGCAGGAGCGACAGCACAGCGGGTAAGAAGGTTGCCTTGCACTGCACGCAGCTGATGCAGGTTCAATTCCTGGCACCCCCATATGGTCCCCTGAGCCCCACCAAGAATGATCCCTGAACAGAGAGTCAGGAGTCAGCCCTGAGCACTGCCGGGTGTGGCCCAAAAACAAACTGAATAAACCAAAACCAGAAATTACCAAAAACAGCACGCATCCCTAAAACGAGGGCTGGCACCCCAGGTTCAGGAAGCGCAACCCCTGGTGAGCATGTGTGAGAATACGTGAAGAACCACCCCCTCCCCCCCCCCCAGAAGCCCCACAACCAAGTTTGCCCTGGAAGTTTTTTTTTGGGGGGGGGGGTCACACCTGGCGATGCACAGGGGTTACTCCTGGCTCTGCACTCAGTAGTTACTTCCTGGCAGTGCTCAGGGGACCCTATGGGATGCTGGGAATCGAACTTGGGGTTGGCCGTGTGCAAGGCAAACACCCTACCCGCTGTGCTATCTCTCCAGCCCCTGCCCTGGAAGGTTTGTGAGGAGAGTGGAGTGTAGATTTAATGGTGATGCTGCGGCTGTCCAGAGCTCAGCCTTGGCCATCAGCCAGCCTCAGGTCACACGCCCTTCACCAACCAGTAGTCCCTGGAGGCTGAGGAAAGGGGATTACCTTCCTTTTACAGAGCTGACCGAGGCCCAGAGTGGCTGAGCAAGTCCCCTATGATCACACAGCTTGCTGGAGGAGTCAGGATTTGAACTCAGCCCGGCTGCAAAGAGCAGAGATCAGTCTGTGAGACTGACCAGGCCCTAATGCAGAAATGGGGGGGGGGGGAGGCAGACCCCCCTCCCCAAGCCTAGAACCTACAGCCTGGAACCTACCTTCCAAAGCCAGCCATGAGCCTGGACACCAGGCAATGAGGAGGGCTGGGGAGCCTGGAATCCATACTGGGCCCCACACAATGGGTGTCTGCAGGACTGGGACCCCCCACCAGAACCCCCAACCTTCCCCCCCATCTCCCTCCACCCCGTACTCCCCCCATCGGCTTCCTGTCGGGACAAGTGTCAGGGAACGTCCCCTCCAGCCAGCCCTCCCGGCTGGTCAGCCTCCGAGTCTCCGGAGCCAGGGGTGTGGAGGAAGGGGGGGGTGATGCATGATTAAGGTCACAAACTGTCTGGCGCACGGTGACGTCACTGCTGCTCCAGGAATGAGGCTGGACCATGCGGGCAGAAGGGACAGATGAGCCCACAAGGTCACGCGCAAGCCCGGTGGACACAGCAAGGCCCCCGCACAGATGCCCTCCCTGAAGCCACGAATGTGAAACACTTCCGGGGCAGAACAGAGCCCACCCCGCCCCCCGCCCCATCCAGGCCAGTGATGGGGGCTTGGGGGAATTCTCCCTTCCTCACGCAAGCTCCAGCAGGGGCCCTCGAGCACAGAGAGCTTTGGGGTTTACGTGGACTTTTTTTTTTTTTTTTAGCTTTTTGGGTCACACCCGGCAAGGCACAGGGATTACTCCTGGCTTTGCACTCAGGAATCACTCCTGGCAGTGCTCAGGGGACCCTGTGGGATACTGGGGATCGAACCCTGGTCGACTGTGTGCAAGGCAAACACCCTA